TATAATAAATGGGGAAGCAAATTTTAAATCAAGGTAATTTTTTTTTTCTCCAGTTAATAATATTGTCTGGTCAAAGATAAATCCGATACCCAATAAATCCGGATGATGATTTAAAACAATTGTCTAATTATTTATCGACATCATAAACTTGGCTCGACTTGAATACGACCTACACTTTTTCGTTAGCGGCGTTAGCCCAAGTTGTGTTTAGGTTCTAGTTGTGGTATTGACCCATCTAGTTAGTGATCCATTCTTTGGTTGGTTCGGCCATTTGATTGAAGTATCTTTGGCCCAATTATTGGTAATCGAAAACAATGCTATTTATCACTATCCTCCAGCTGTGAGTTTCCTGTGGGTGGATGATTGCAATAGTGGTTAGAATGTTAAAGGTCGCCGACTTGGAGGGTGAGGTGTGAGATTCAATCATTGCTTCCTTAATTCTTCCTCTCTATGTAATATTGTAGTCATCATCACCATTGATCCTTTGTGGATGAAGAGGAAAACCGTGTGAGGGTGAAATCTTGAGACAATTAAAGTGGAGGTTTGGTTTTAGGTCGAGTTGAGGTAAATTGGTGTTTGTTTGATTGTTTTTTGACTTCGGAATCAAGATTTCTCGAGGGATTTTCACGATAAATGATATCAGAGCTTGTATTATTGAGAAATATGTGATTTTTTTGACCAAAAATTGACTAGAAGTAGGGAGAGATCAACTTGGAAAATTGGAACAAAAATAGTCCAGATTTTTGAAAATTTGCCTAGATGTGTTTTGTTGTTCTCCGACCAAACCAGTGACCTGTTGGAAAAACGGTGACCACTAGTGGACTGTACAGACCGAGGCAATTCAGGTGGGAAGACAACTTGTGAGGATTCTGGTTAGGCGCGTGAGACGTGTGGGGCTAATTCCTGCAATGGTCTCAAAAGATAGAATTTTGCTAGTGGAGATATGGACCATGTGGTGTTGTTGAATTTCAATTTTGAGCAATGCAGTGAAAGTTGGATGATTTTGCCCTTGAACGTTCAGGTGTCGAATGTTGTTTTATGTTTCTGCGATTGCTGAAAGCTTTAGGATGATCAGTGACGATTTTAAAGCAATGAATTCACATCTCTCGATATTAACGGACCTTCAAACGTGGTTCACTCGGTATCGTGTTCTTTTCCTTTTATTATTGCAGTTAAAATATTGTGTAGAGCTATTATTTATTTTTCACATCAGAAGTCATCGTGTGACGTAACGTTAGGTTTGGGGTTACCGTGAAGGGGTAACCATTGCTTATTGCTAGACCTAGGAATTATTTGCCTTAAATTTCTTATGAATTTGTTGCCAATTTCTTTACACTATTAGAATTGCATGTGATCTTAAAAAAGTTTATTTGATCATTCTATGTGAATTATATTTATATTTTGTTTGTGGTCATTATTTGGTATTGATGACATGTATAGGTTTAAGGCAAGTGTGAAAGGTAAAATATGTTTTAACTGTAGTAAATTTGGACATGATGAGATAAACTGTCCTAGTAATGATAATAAAAGGAAAGACAATGAGAGAGTTGAGGTGAATGCGACTATAGGATCGAGTGATGACCTATGTGAGGTTTTATTGAAAGTAAACTTGGTTGCTGCATTTGCATCTGTGTGTAATCCTTTCTGCGCGTTACACTATCAATTTTTTTGATGTGTGTGATTGCATGAATTAAAGTGGTCTTATAACTTTGTGTAATGTGTTTGCATGCATAGTGGGTTGAGTTTTGTGGTATACCTCATTTGTTCTGTAAGTGGTGTGAAAGTGTGGTAGTGAGAAGAAAGATGGACAATTGTTTTCTCCTTTATCTTTGTAAGCTTGTGTGTGATTTGTAAGATTGTATGAGGCAGCCATGTAGTGATATATTCTTTCTCTTTGTGAGCCTCTTTTGTGAGTGTAGTGAAGTAACTACCTCTTTCTTCTATTCTCTTTATGAATGCCACATTAACCATTTCCTTTCTGGATTTTTAAGCATTGGCGATTAGAGTAACCTTGTGGTGCATGGGTCAATTTTGAATTGAGACCTAACATTTGTGGTCGTCGAAAGGTGTTGATTTGCCATAGTAAGTTTGAGATGTATTAGCAACGAGTTGAATGTCTTTTGATAAGGTGGAATATAGATATCTGAAGGTGCATTGGTGATATGCATGGGGAACGTGGAGTGTGACGTTTGGATCACGAGTAAAGAGGTGATTAAATGTTGGAATCCTTTATTTGTAAAGAGACCCTCATCAGGTGGAGTATGATAGAGACACTTTTATCACTTCTATTAGGTGGAGACCCATTATCCACGTAAGTTATGAGAAGTGATGTGCTGATAGAGGATTATCCCATGGACTTAGAATCCATTGTGACTTACTAGTTAGACATGAGTTAAGAGATTAGTCTAGTGAGCATGGTATGAGTTCTCGAGGTGTAAGCAACACGGAATGGGATAGGATAAGTGTGGTGAAATCTTTTCGTGGGTCATTTATGCATTTGTTGTATATGTGTTTGATTGGCTTGGTGTTAGTCAATGGTTCCGTGTGAACGTATTTCTAAAAAGATCTATGTGTGTTATCATATAATATATCATCATCGCATATTTATTTACTCTTGATTGCTTACTGTGAATATCTGCTTCTACTTGGGTGTTCTTGATCTTAGTCCTAGAGAGTATATGGAGCAGGCATGGTAAATGATTTAGACTGGAAACACGAGCTAAAGTCTGAAATACCAATTTTATTAGTTACTTTGATTATGCAAGTATAAACTTTGTGCTTTGATTGCTTGTAGATTTATTGGATACTAGGGTAGAGTTTTTTTAGGTTTTTTGATACCCAGTAAATCCTAGCGATAATTTAAAATAGTTGTCGAATAATTTATCGACACCATGGACTTGGCTCGACTCGAATACAACCTACGCTTTTCGGTTAGCCCAAATTGTAATTAGGTTCCAGTTGTGGTATTGACCCATTTAGTTAGTGATCCATTCTTCGGTTGGTTGGGCCACTTGAGTGAAGTATATTTGGCCCAATTATTGGTAACCTAAAACAATGCTATATACCACTATCCTCCAGCCGTGAGTTTCCCGTGGGTTGATGATTGCAATAGAGGTTAGAATGTTGAAGTTAGCTAACTTGGAGGGTGAGGCGTGAGACTCAACAATTGTTTCCTTAATTCTTCCTCTCTTCGTGATATTGTAGTCATCACCACCATTGATCCTTTGTGGATAGAAGAGGGAAACCGTACGAGGGTGAAAACTTGAGACAATTAAAGTGGAGGTTTGGTTTTGGGTCGAGCCGAGGTAAAGTGGTGTTCGTTCGTTTGTTTTCTGAACTCAGAATTAAGATTTATCAAGGGATTTTCGTGACAAATCTTATTTGACATAATGATTTGGTGAAGTCGTACATGTACTAGGTAATTGCAAAATTAGGAAAAAAAATTATTTTCTTGCTTGATTGCATGCTTGATGCACAAAGTAAAATTAAAATCGCAAAACAAATGCTCGTGGACAGTAAAACTATAGTAAAAATCGAGGGGTCGAACCCCAATGTCAATCCCATTTCACGTGTTGCTTTTCATTTTTATGTAAAAATGAAATTTCCAAATATTTTATGTGCTAAATACATAAAATCGACTTATCAATGTGCAGTAAGGGTCGTCTTCATCTCTTCATTGAAAGCTGGAAATACTTGATGAAGAATATCTTTCATTCACTCTCTGCACCCAGCACAACTTGATTACCTGGTTGCAGGTGTATCTGAGAAAGGAGACTGTCTGCAAATAACAAAGTCGTCTTGCAGCGGTCATTCTTTATCAGCCTCAGATTCGCGCTTTCTTGCACCACCCATGATATGGTGCACAGAAGCTGATGACCTTGATTTGTGTTCTCAACTTGAGAGGCCTGTGGCATCACATATGGCTGGGAAACACCAGTGTCTTGAACCTCACTAATTAATGTAACAAGATACAATCTTCTGTCAAACCGCAAAACACTCAAAATTACAAATCCATTAAACCTCGAACAAACACTCTTTCTTGCCTACTTTATGCTTATCTGGCTATTATTGATTGCGTTACAATCGCGACAGGTAATGAAGTGGATGATTAAGTCCAAATTTCGATCAAAATATACTAATTACTTACTGTTAATTTTTGTTAGATTGTGACTCAAATTCCATGTGATTTAGAATTGTAGTTCATGGAGAAAGTCTAGACAATTTTGCTTTAGGACTCGGGATAAATAAGGAATCAAATTTCATCATGGATAAATAAGCTACTTTCTTTCTGAATCCATATAAATAAATTATTTAATTTGACACTAAAGTAAAAAATCACGTTCCAAGAAAGTGTATTTTGCTACCAAAATGTTCTGAAACTAAATTGACTTGAAATATTATTTTCAAAGCAAGCCAAACATCTTACTACTAAAAAACAGGGCGAGACTGAAGGAATTTTTCTGACCAACTAAAATTCATCAGATGCAACTAAGTAGACATGAAAAAGTTTTCAATTGGAGATTTAAGAAGCAACTAATTTGTTTCGAAGTCATGCCCCATGGGCCATACATACTCTATGTGGCTTCCACAACTAATTCTCGGGGATCATGTAAAGCAAGCCAAATCTTTACATTTTGAGGAATGGAGACATCATGAATGAATTTTACAGCATTCAAGCAAGCCATTCTCATATGAATGTATACCTTCGACATGAATACAACGTAGAGCAATGTTTTCCAATATTTTAGGAACAACACCAAGAACAATGTACAAGATTGAAAGCATTTGAATCCTTGGTACGAGTATAATAGGATCCATGTGCAAGAAAAGAACCTAAAGAACCTGATCATCATGATGAAGGTCTATCCTTCCATTAAATTTTACATCATGATGATCATGTTTTTCAAATTCTTTTCTTGCTCATGGAGAACAGGGAGAAAAACAAAGAATTAGTGCTATACTTCAATCATTCAATTAAGAAACAAGGAAAAAACAAAGAATTAATGCTGAATCATCAAAACTGATCTATCAAAAAATAATGAACAGTTGATTTTTACATCAATCAACATTCAAAGTTAATATCTAATTCTGCAAGTACTATGATATCGTGTCATGTCTAGAACCCTAAATTCATAACCGCATCATTCAAATCCCGGCGGGGGAGTTGAATTTAGGAAGAAACTGCAGCAAGATTCAGAACTCGTCTCTTAGCCCGGTCACTATCTCCTCAAACACTCCGAGTTCACGCAATTCCATTCTTTCCAAGTTTTCATTGACCCACAAAATTCCCTCTCAGTTTTACCCATCTCTTCAACCACCGGATTGTAGGAAGCACGATTCGAAACTTCATCTCTTAGCCCGGTCAGTATCTCCTCAAACGCTCCGAGTTCACGCAATTCCATTCTTTCCAAGTTTTCATTGACCCACAAAATTCCCTCTCAGTTTTACCCATCTCTTCAACCACC